GAGCGTTTACAGCGCTGAAACGGCTTTAACGCCTTTAACGGCTGTAACAGCTGTAACGACTGTAACGACTGTTACAGCTGAGGCCGTTGTAGTCCAGGTGTTTCACAGCTCTGAAGTTTTAAACTCATTGGCTACGCCTGCTGAAGTCGGCTCCATTTTGGAAATGGCTCTGCGTTCGATGCCCAGCAGAGGGCGGTCCGTGACAGAGTGACGTGTTAAATCGTAGAATGATGGACTGTCACCATGTTTATCACAATGAACAACAGCAGCGTTAGACCAAAACAAAACCGACTTCAACAGAAGACGTTTTAAGTCAAACAAATGAGTTTAAACTTCATTGTTTTACTCTTTTTTTTCCGACTTCAACAGAAGACGTTTTAAGTCAGTGTTTTACTCTTTTTTTTTGTCAGTGGTGAATTTGTGCGACTTGTAGTTAATTTTCTCTGGTGAATTCAGTAGTTTTGTAGGAATGTTTTAAATGAAGTTCTGAGGCAGTGGACGTCGTCAATAATCACAGCCACAAAACTTCTTTTCTCCTTCTCCAGTAACTTCTTCAAAACAGAGTTAAATCTTATGTTCAACATAATATTTCTGAAGAACGTTAGCACTAGTGTTTGGTGTAGTTGGCTGAGCAGTGGACTCACCTCCACCTTCTGCTCCTCCGTCTACACACTGTGTATGATAGGATTTCTCAGTGCCCAGCACCTCGATGCTGTCACTGCTGCTCACACTTCCTGTCAGGTCCAAGAGAACAGTGAGGTCAGAGGTCATGGTCTCCTCCTGCTCTAGTTTTATTGGTATTTCCTCCACGCAGGAGCAGAAAGACTCCAGACTCACAGGTTCTGACCGTGACACCCCGGCGCTGCTCTTCATCACCTTCTGTAACTCTGCCTCCGAGCTCTCCTGCTCTTCCTCCTCGTTCCCTTTGCTTCCGAGCTCAAACAGGAAGTTGGTGAGAGTTAGCTTCCTGTATAGTGAGCCTGACACGCAGGAAGTTCGCAGGACACTGCGGTCTCCTTGAAGGCGGCGCTCGGTGTCCGCCAGCTGCTCCTGCATGAGGCTGAGAAAGTAGGCGTTGCAGAGCTCCTGCAGGGGCTTCAGAGAGCACTCAGACCTGCTGGGGCTGAGGGCGGAGCTGAAGGTGAAGGTGGAAGGACGCCGCTCAGGTGGCTGCAACGGCGTGGGATCGGTGAGGGAGTCGGCCGGGTCGTAGGGCAGAAAGTCAGGCTGTTGGAGCTTCCTGTTGGGGTAGGATGTGACCTGGCGAAGGAGATCTCTGTGATTCTGGATCGAACGTTCCACAGCTTCAAGGTCTTGGGCCACGTCTCCATCTGCTGGGGACACGTGCACCGAAGACGGCTGTTCTGTGTCCTGCAGCAAAGTTAGGCGTGTGTACCTGAAACAGAGACTGTGTTTAATCAGCTGATGATGGTCAGGACTCAGTTAGTTTGTCTGTTGGTGGATTCTAGTCTTACTCCAGATCAGTGAGTTTTCTCTGCAGCTCCATTGAAAACGCCTGTCTGTTTCCTGTCTTCAGGCTGTCGGACGCCTGAGAGAAGCAGGACGACAGTTCGACGAAGTTCTCCATCAGCTTGGACTGATCAGAACACACGTAGGCCATACAGAAAGGACGCACCATGCCCCGGGCCTGCAGGTCATACAGAGTCAGGTACTGAACGTACGCGAAAGCATCTTCCGCTGAATCTCCCAAGATGACTTTGGAGTCCTCGCTGAAGTTCAGCCGGGGGCCAGAGGAGGCGTGGGAGGCGGGGGAGGTGGGGAGGGGTCCAGACGCCTGGTACCGGGGAGTCCTCGCTGAAGTTCGGCGGGGGGCCGGAGGAGGCGTGGGAGGCGGGGGAGGAGGGGAGGGGTCCAGACGCCTGGTAGTCCACAGACATGATACGAACGGAGAAGTGGTTGAGATCAAAAGAGCCGATGACCGCGGGGTCGTCCGGTATGGTCAGCACGGGCTTCGGACCAACCTGCAGAGAGGTCAGCAGGTTAGAGGACGTCCAGTTGTGGATTATTCAGTGTTAGTAACACGGGTCGGGCCGAGAACTGTGGTAGTTGTTGGTCACGTGTGTTTTCATTATGTTTAAACATGTTTTGATTTGAAATATCGACAGGAAACAGTCACGTGTGCAAAAAATATAATGTAAAAATGAACTTATATCAAAAATTAAGTTTATTAAAATTGAAACTTAGTTATCAGCTCCCTGCAGTACCTCAGTGGACCACCGGTTGAAGACTACTCTGAAGTATAAGAAATGACTACATATTTGTGGTAAATCGTATAAATTCATGTTTTATTTATTTTATTTGACTTTTATAACCTTTATTAGTCAGAGTTTCCTCCGTCACTGCAGATGTTGAATTTGTGAAGAACTGTTGACGTCACGTGTATTCACTCCAGCAGATTTTTTTTTTTTTATTTAAAGATACAAATAAATGTTTATGACGTGACGTTGACATCGAGTCCATCTTGTGATCTCCAGGGAACTGAAACTACTGAACAATTCGGCTCCACATCAAACGGCGATTCGCTGCTCACAGATCGATAAATCGGCAAAACATCATGATAAATAAAAGTATATATGAGTGACAGGCTGTTAAAAATACTTTTTTTTTATTGCGAAATGTAGTAAAAACGTTTTTTAAAAAGACGTTGTTAAAGCGGTGGCAGAAATTCACTGAAAATGGAAATATCATCCACAAATAAACAAGAATTAAATAGAAATGATGGAGTGAATCTGAACATTTGAAACAGAACCAAGAATGAAAGTTCTGGAAGAGTCAGTGAACTGTTGTTGTTGATGTTTCCTCTGTAGGAGTGGAGGTTCATACCTGCTCCGAGAACTCGGCCACCAGGACGAAGTCTCGGTGGAAGTGTGCGGAGGAGCTCCAGGGGCGGCACGGGGGGAGCAGCGGCACCGACAGCTCCTCCGGCAGAACCGCAGCCTCCTGCTCTTCTTCTCCCTCATCGAACTCCTCCGGGCCGGTGAAGGCCAGCAGGTCCGGAGACCCGATCATCTGAGTGACGCTGGAGGAGAGGCGAGCGGGGGGGTCGACCCATGGAGGGTCGTGACGGATGACGCACGGCCTTCCGTCGGTGAGTCAGCTGTTCACACAACACCGACCGCCGCGGACTTTTTTAAAAAACTTTTTGCTGAGTAAATTAACGACACGTGACGCGACGCATAGGAAAGATATAATTCTGTAAAAAAAAAAAAAACTCCGATTAAAAAAACCACTGATGTTAAAGAAGTTAACGGTGAAGTCGAAGCTCCGGTTCAGTCCGGCGGGGACAGAAGTCACGGCCTCACCTTCATCTGGAGATCAGTCCATTTAACAACAACAACAACAACAACAACAGTCGTGTCCTGTTGTCACGTCTCTGACCCGTGGAACTCAACCCTCACCCTGCCATGTGACGGACGGACAGCGGGTCAGTCCCCGCTCCGCCCCGCCCCTCCCTGACAGTCCGAGACTTTTTATAAACACCAAGGAAACTTCCGGTCGTTACTTTCAAAATACAACATTTCCAACGTCAGATAAACGGATGAATCCTTTTTTTCTCTTCAGGACACGACGGAACGTTACTGTAACAGGTGGCGTTTTTATCTAATTTTTAACAGAAAATATTGGTTTATCTTTTAAATCTTATTCTATACCATAGATCGTCAAACAATAAAAATGGACCGGGACGTCAGGCCGAGTTCCGGAAGTAGACTTTCAATTGGTCCATTTAATTTGGAATAAACTATGAATGGAATTCATGGGCTCACAGCGCAAAGCTGGCTGATTTGTAGAACTGAATGGTGACGTCATTGGTTTATAAATCTCAGTATTTTCCCGTGGATGGTCCATCAACATATAATGACATTTACATTATCATCATTTTCATAAAAGATCAACCAAGTGAGAATCCAAACAAGTGCTTTTATTTTTAACTTAAATCTCACTGTTTAATCACAAGAAAGAAACACAAAGTCTCACATTCATCCTGTTTAAAAGCAACCAGATAAAAATGAAACCAAGTTCACACAGAAACACACCCTGACGGTCTGACGACCACAGAGTCCTCACGTCCTCTGTTGATTCTCTTCTGCATAGCTGAGTTTAACGTGGACTAATTAATCAAACGATGCAGATTAATTAGAGGAGACGATCGGGACGATGAACCGAACACCACGGGAAATACTGAACTGGACGTTAGAAAAAACAAACTGATGTTTTTATGGCATAATAATAATGATGATGATGATGATGATGATCACATGATTCTAAACAGCATCAGGTCGGTCTGAGAGTCACCTCCTCGTAGCTCCTCCTCCTCCTCGTAGCACAGATCAGTTCATGGTTCCTGCCAACTGTTCTCTGTTCCTCAACAGTTCTGCCATAAAGTCACGCTAAAGAGACTCAGATTTTTCAGAATCTACTGTTTCCTAACACCACGTATTTGGATGATACAGGATGACACTGTTAATCTGAGTGACAGCTGTGTGTGTGTGTGTGTGTGCAGGGGTCACATGAGCAGGATCTCGGGCTCTGACACAGCACAGTAGAGCATGAAGCCCACCTGGTCCACCTGGTCCTCTGACAAGCCGCTCAGCAGATTGACAGCTGGTTTAAAGTAACTCTGCAGCGCCCCCTGTTCCAGGTAGCCGATCATCTCTGTGACACACTGTTGGAATCTGGTCTCCAGGCTGATCTCAGACCAGTCGCTCTCGCCGTCACTCAGGTGCAGGATCACGTTGGCCAGCGCGGCGGCGTGGAGCGGTCTCAGGGCGTGGTTCAGTCTGCACGCCGCCTTCAGGATTTTGAGCGTGTGTCGGCGACACCCGCCGTCCGCGGCGTCCAGTTGAACCAGACGCTGAGTCTCCCAGGGGTAGAGTGAGAGGTGCCAGGCGTTGACCCAGGGGGAGGTGAGCTCCGGTTGGGCGGTCAGGACAACGTCCTCCTGCCTCAGCAGAGGCAACACGGTGATGAACAGAGGCTGGTCGTCTCCATCCTCGTCCTGTGGCCTGACACGTCACAAAGACTCCCACGATATTATTTCAAATGTGAAAAATACAGCTTAACGATGAGTAAAGAAACACACACACTCACACTCACTCACCTGATCTCCAGTTTCAGCTCAGGTCCACCCAGAACTGGTCTGACGCTGCAGTCCATGGAGCTGCTGATGGACGGCCAGTTGATGGTTTCCATGACAGCTTTAGTGAACATGTTGACGACAGCCTCTGCAGACAGGTAACCACCCACCAGGTACCTGCAGCACACACACACACACACACACCACACACACACAGACTGCTTTCACTGATGCAGAGTGGAGGTTCAGTGAAATAAACACCCCACTCGTTGTGGCCCGGAGCCCACTGTACACCTGGGCCACATCAGTCAGGATGAACTTTTACCACTGTTTCAGGACCAGGTCGATTTTTGCCTCGTGAACGTTGTAACTTTTTTTTTTTTTAATTTCTAACCTGCTTCTAAGAGAAGATGAATATGAAGTGGGGGGGTCAGGGGGGGGGTGTGGTGGTCCCTCCATCAGACAACAGTCTGGACTGTGACTGCAGTCCAGGGTGTGTATTATGTGAAGTGAAGGTCTTGACTGAGTCCTGTTTACATCACACCATCATGTGAACTGACTTCTAAGATCACTCTGTTTTTCTACATTATGTAACGCAGTTGACGAACCTGCAGATCCTCCTTCACTTTATTTTCCCCCACAAGGGGGCAGTGTAACACCAGCTCCAGCAGTGAGCGGCAGCAGTGCTGTGAAAGGTATTTGATCAAAGTAACTCAGATTGACTTCCTCTGGAAAAAAAAGTTGTTCTGCCCCCTAGTGGATTAGAATTATGGTAACACTGTATACAGTACAAATAATATATCATATACAAAACGTATGTCATAAACAAAACTACATGACGATTTTATAAAGTTTTGTTATGTTTATGAAACATCTACAGGGCTTTAATAAAGGGAGAGTTGACCCCTGTGACCTCAACAGTTCAGGGTGAATGTGTGTGTGTGTGTGTGTGTGTGTGTGTTATCACCTGTCCCAGTAGCTCTGTCCTCTGGGGAAATATTCCAGATTCACTCTGCGGACCATCCAGTGCAGCGGGTGTGTGAGCAGCGTCTCCTCTCCTGGGATGAGACGCCACAGAGAAGCTTCCAGCAGCAGAGGCACCAGCAGACAGGCGTGGTCTGCACACACCACCTAAACACACACACACACACACACACACACAAAACCAGTGTCCAGTGGACGTTTGTCTCATGTCTGAATGAAAAGACTCCACTGTTCTCGTGGCGCCACCTGCAGGTCGTCCAGCAGAGAACCTCCCAGACTCATCTCTCCCAGAGGCATGTCAGGCTGACGGCCGTGCAGGAATCCTTGGATCTCAGTGCAGATGTCCAGAGCCAGAGACTGAGCTCTGTGGACGTCCAGTGGAGCCAACGCTGCCCTGCTGTGGTAGAACTGCTGCAGACGATGCTGTGAAGACCCCCAGTGGGGGGGGGCGGGGGGGGGGGGGGTCACATTATAATCCAGTGATAAAACTATCACACGTTTCTCTGTTTCATTTAAACACTGGGCTGGGGGGGGGGGGTTTGTTTCTGTCGTGTAACCGTTTCAGCTCGACTTCTTTTCTATTAACGTTCTTAAGTTCCTGAATGATCAGGCTTTATTTAAGGGCAAATCACACTCCCCCAATTACCCTCTTAAGTCCAGTCATGCATTAGCGGCTGCTCTGCAGACACATCATTTCATGTAGCTATTACTCTGCACACCAACGCAGGGCTGTTTCATGCTTGTTTGACTTTGTGATTCTGCAGGGCTCCGGGGGCCGGTGTGCAGCCCATGAGCACCGTGCTTTACAAAACATGTCTCACATGCATAAATGAATGAGCCGATGTCGACCGGAGCTTTCACAGCAGCTGCTACGACTGAATTCATAATCTGTCTCTTCAAAGGCTGGAGCCCACGGGACGGGACGGTACCTGCAGCGTGACGACACTCAGCTGGATCCTCCTGGACTTGGACTCAGGTCCGGAGACCTCCAGAGACGACACGGGCGATTGTTGGCACAGGTCGTCTGTCACAGGACAAAGGTCAGGGACAGCTGTGGAGGAGCGCCGAGCGGCGGTGAGAAAATGTTTCATCGAGCAGGAAATACCTTTCTGCTGTTTGGCTGCTTTGGCGACATGTTTCAGCACGACCCCCTCGATGCCATTTGTGATCAGTGTGGGCGATGATGTCACCAAACTTAACTCCTCCCAACTCTCTGCCATTTTCTCTTTCACCTTTTCATCCTCTGCTGCACGGCCGGCACGCTCAATCAGCTGCAAAAAAAAAAAAAAAAAAGAAATTGTTAAATTGTTTTTCTGATCACAGAAAAAAAAAGTACATTCACATCAGTGATGAGGAAAAAACCACCTTTAAACACGTATGAAAACCTGTTTACAGTCATTTTAGTTGGAAAGTGAAAAAGTAGGTTCAAACATTTAGACATGTACACAGAACCACACAGTCATAGATCTATTAAGATTCAAGCGTGGACCGATCTTGACACACAGACGTGGCCCACTTCTAGAACACTCACCCGTTTCACAGCCAGTGTAGCGATTCCTAGCATGGCAGCTCCACCAACTCCCAGAACCAGCCGGGCGTTTGACAGCAGGAAGTCAATCACCATGGCGATGCCATCCTCCCCTCGTCTCCGACTGCCCTGGAAGTTCATCTCTTCCTTTCTTGAGCTTAGCCTTGAGCGAAGAGAAAAGGAAAAACTGTAAGACGACACGACGGTCGGCCATCTCCAAAAACCTGTGGCAGGAAAGAGCACTTAGTGTGAGGGTAAAAAAAATGTAT